CGGTGCCTCCTGATGTTCCGTTGCCCGTTTCTCGGAGGTTCTTCTGGTTCCCCGGGTTCCTCGAGCTCCCCACCGCCACCACACACCACACCTGACTCGACCGTGCCACGCGTTCGCTGATGCACGCACCCTGCAATGATGCCACCACGTCAGTTTCCACCATGCCACGCGTTCGGTGATGCTCGCAGCCGTGCGGCTCACGCGCGCCCGAGGCTCAAGGGGTGCCATCCGCCAGGTCGCGATGCTACCACCTCTGTGATTGAGCTCGTGTGCGCAATGCGCACCCACTGGATCAGGACGATGAGCAGGCCGCCGACGCTGACCCCGCTCACCGGCGACATCGACAGCGGCCACAAACCGCACCGCGCGCACATGAATGCCACGGAGTTGTGGACGACAGACGAGAGGCGGGCCGTCTGCGAGGGCTGCATGCGCGGCGCGGAAGAGCAGGAGAGGCCCGGCAAGGGACAAGGCAAGAAAAGGGCAAGGAGAAGCACGGCGGCGTTGGCAAGCCCGCGCACGGAGGCGGCAAGGGCAAGGATAAGCAACGAGGCGGCAAGGGCGACTCCGGCCAAAGCACGGAGGAGCACGGCCGGGCTGGAAAGCCAGCGCACGTGAGCCCGAGGCAGAAAGTGCAGCAGCTAAAGAAAAGCAGTTTCAACGCTTCTCTGTTTCAAAAGACTGGCAACCAGCACCACTTCATGGCTCTTATGCGGGAGTCGGCTCTCTTGGCGCCTGGCGGCATCCACAGGCTCCTGGAGAAGTGCCGGGAGATCAAGACGTCCAAGGAGTACGGACAGGCGGTGCAGCATTCGAGGAGGCGCACCGAGGAGGTTGCCAAGGTGCAACATGCGCAATGGTAACTTTACCGCGCCGAGCAGCACGCAGAGCCGAACGATGTCATCGAGACATTGGGGGAGCGCTCTCACGAAGCGCTTGACGTTTCCCAACAAACAAGGCGGCAGAGGCTTGAGAACACGCCCGCTGCGTATCCCGCCACCGACATGGTCGCCCCTCCTGCGGTGTAGCCGGGAGCATACAGAAATAGAGCGTTGCAAAACATTTGGCCAGATTGCAGAGCCAGAAGCGAAGGAGAGAGCAGTGCTGCAAAACCTGTGGCCGTAGTGCTGGCGTAGATGAACCCGTTCGAGCTCAGCTGTTCTCAGCTTGCTGCCGCCGCCTTTCCTTGGTAGCGCACGCGTCGGCAGGAGCGTTGGGCAACAGATGTGGCCATGCTGCGCGCGAAATCTATCACATCATCCTGTTCCTCCCTGTTACCTCCACCGTCGAAGCTGCGCCTGCACTCCAAGCTCATTGTGGATTTCGATTGCGCTGGCGCGCCAGGTTCATTTCGCCGAGTTCGCTCCGGGCTTATTTTCAAAAGGAAATCCCCTTCTTGGGGTCGCGCCTGGCTCATGCGCCAACGGAAACAGCGACGGCAAGGTAAGGAGGACATCTACATCCCAAGACTCCAGAAAGCATGGCGGGAACGCCCAATCTGCGAAATCGCCCAACAAAAACATAACGGGTCGGGAATCAGGGCCGTCGCCGCTGGGTGCACAAGACTTCCAAAGGGGAGGAACAACAGTTTCCAGCGTGCACATCGAACTTCCATTTTGGAGGTTTTGGGCCCTCTTGGGAGTGGTCCGAGGAAGGGCGGGGGCCTTTGCGTGAGGTCTGCGCGAACCGTGCCCCAGCCGGGGCCGCCGCTCGTTCCCCCCCTCCTCTCCCTCGTGCGGAGCGCTGATTTACCGCGCAGTCCAGACAGTCAGGCGTCGGGTTGGTGTTATCTCGTGTGTTGAATGGGCCTATTACACAGCCGTGCCCTGTACATTCCCAGCCCCTCCCTCCCGACACGGTAGCTGCTTTTTTCAGCAGCAGCCCCGTGCCCGCCCGACCGATCCACGCGAGCGCCAGGTCCGCGACCCCGGGCGGTGAAGAGGGGTGCGGCGCGGTGCGCGGCGAGGGGCCCCCGTCCAGAGTGGCACGCGGCGGGGGGGGGTTCTGCGTGGACACGCGCGGGGGCGTGTGCTGCCCGCGACACAGCGGCAGGAACACGGCAGGGAGAGCAAACGCAGGGCAGGGTCTGCCGAGGTCGAGCATTGGATATGAGGGGGTCCGGTCGAGACAACGGTAGTCGGCCTTCGAGGGGGTCTTTCGTCGCCACGGGTGGACGCAGCTCGGAATACTGGTGCGTTTGGACCACGGGAGGCGTCTGGGGACTGATTTTGAGTCGCCTTGGTCCCACTTGGCCCTCCTGCGAGTGGACTAGCCAGCAGAACTCGGATGCAGTGGAAGCGAGCACCGCGTGCGCGCGGTGTCTAGGTATGTTGGGCACAGATTTGCACGTTCAGAGGAACGATCGGGAGAGTGATGCTGCGATGGTTGCGCGGAGGAGCGGCACATCGCGATCGAGACAAGTGTGCAAGAGGGCATCGCGTGCACGCGCTGCGGGAGCTAGATGGGTGGAGACGCGTTCAGCGGAACGCAGGGGGACGAACGTGTGGAAGAGCAGTGTTCCATGGCACGTGGCGCCGCAAGTGGTGCGAACGCGACCAACGCGTAGAAAGTGGGCGGGGCAGAGCAACGGAAACTGAAACGCGCTTCTTGTAGGGATCTGTTTCCGAGGCAGGCGCTTGTATCGACCAGGCAGGGGGCAAATGATGTTCCCAAGGGTGCCCGCGCAGTCTGCGAGAGCTGCTCCGAACAGAGGCGATTTGCCGCGCGCTCCTGGGAAGCGTTGTGGTGACTGGGGAGCGCCAGGGAGGGCTCCCTCGCAGTCGGTCTGCCGGGACATTGTTTTTTCTGCAGTGGAGAGGCGCGCGGACGAGAGCCGCTGAACTGCGGCAGGTGCCCGAGGGGAAGCCGACATCGGCAAGAGGCCAGCTATAGCGTGACAGGAGAGCGGGCGAAGGACGGGGAGCAGGAGGAGGGCCATCGGCGCGATCAGCATCGGCCCCGTCATTGCCTTTGCCGTCGTCGTTATCATCATCGCCACCACCATCGCTAACATTATCATCGTGTCTGCCGGTGTCGACGTCGCCATGGTACCGCGCCCGCCCGAGTCACCGACTCGCATTGATGTGCCGAGGATGTGGAGGAATAAAAAGAGAATCTGAAGGAGGAGGAAAAGGAGGAGGAGGAGGAGGAGGAGGAGGAGGAGAGTGATGAGAGCACGAATGCGAAGAGTCTGGCGATGTCCTCTGGCCACCGCACCGATCCCGGCCAGGCCCACGCAGGGCCCAGGGCCAGTGCGCGCATACGCCCTCCTGGCTTGGCCAGGGGTGTGCGCCGTTCTTGGGCCCAGGCAGACTGGCCAGGATCGGTGAGGTGATCAGCTGACGTGGCACGACAGGGAAAAGCGAACAGCAGGCGGACGGCGAGGAGGAGGAGGGGGGCATCGAAGGGGACGTCGTCTTCGGCTGTGGTGTTCCGGGCAGCTGCTGGTTCGGAAGGCCTCGTGGGATCTGCCTGCGCCCAGAGACATTCAGGAGGAAAAGAAACACACAGACACAATTAATCCTCGATTTCCCCGAAAATATGGGAAAATATGGGAAGTGGGGGGGAATACAAAAACCCAGAACATATGGGAAAATATGGGGGATCTTTTTATTTGTGTGCATTTGTTTGTGTGTCCCAGGGCCCCTTCAGACATGTGGGATCTGTACTGCGGAGGAGTCGGAGGCCAGGCTGGGGCCCACTGCGGGAGTTCCGGGGGCACCTCCGTGGCGCCCGCGGGCGGGTCGCGGGGCTTGGACAGTCTCGTGGCCGCGCGGGGGCGTGTGGAAGCCGCGCGGGAGCGGCCAGGACCGTCTCGGAAGTGCCGTGAAGGCTTCGAGGTTGACATCTGAGGATGCCTGGGTCTATCTCGGGGTCATTTCGGGGGCCTGATTGGCCGTCCGGGTGCTTCTGGGAAGCTTGTTGGATTCTCTCGGAGGCATTTGGACGACATGCAGGGGCCATGTGGAACGTAAGGATGTGCAGGTGGCAAAAAGAAATCGAGAAAGCAAGAGGGGTCAACTTTGCTTCTCCAGCACACTTCGTAGAAGCATTTGGGTCGGAGCCGTTTCTGGGTTAGTGCTGCTATACCGGGGCGATCGTCGAGGCCAGTCTAGAGCAAACGTGAAAACAATGTTTGGGTACGTTCGGGCGTATTAGGACAAACTTGGGCAATTTGAAAAGCCGTTGTGGTCCCTGCGCGATTTTTTTTGCAGAATCCAGGGGCTGGATGGGTCTTTGTTTGACGAGCTCATAGGGTCCTTCCATGTCCTCCCTCGAGCCCCCCTCAAACGGGGTTTGGCACCTCCGAGGAGGAGGAGGAGGAGGAGGAGGAGGAGGAGGAGGAGAGGGGGATATAGAGAGGGGGCACATGAGGGCACTCAATCATCTCACAAGCCTTTTTATTGTCCCTGGCGAACAGGTCTCGGCGGATTATCCGCGACTTTCCGACGCATACTGGCTAGTTTCTAAAACACTCAAGGATCAGATAGCAAAGCGTCTAACCAGCAGCAACGAGACACAAGTATGGCTATCATTTTACTTGACATTGGAGGCCAACAGCACTACTTCGTTGAGGTCACTACCACTACGCGATTCTCGAGGCAACACAAAAAGTGTGTTGTTGGATGCGTCGCTGGAAGACAGCATCAGGGAGATGTTGGAGGGCAGCACTAATCAGACAGTATCGCTGGATTGTAGTATGGAGGGTGTTGCCTTCATGACACCGTCAGGCGCGTCCTTGAGAGACCGGAGCAGCTACTCCACAGTTTCGCTGAACCTCACCCAGGAGGACAACTTCCCGTTCCCACAGTGGGAGCTCCGTGAGGGAAGCCAGTGCCCAAGCGAGTCGCCCACCACAGTTCCTCGCAGATCCAACTGCGACGGTCTGGTCCTGGAGCCGACTGAGGGGTCTGGCTTGTGCTTCAATGTCATCAGCGAGTGGACTCCCGCTGGAGCTTCTAGTTCCAACGGTGGGGCCCTCCCGCGGGTCCTCTCCCTATTCCCCCTTCGACCTCGATTTTTTGAGATCTCCGAGGGTCCCTGGAGGTTTCTGGAGATTTCCAGAAATGAGGTTTCAGAAATGCCTCTCTGTCCGGGGGCCTCCAGAATCCTCCTCCTGCTCCTCCTCCTGCTCCTCGTTCTCGAACGGTGGGGCATCATCCAGCAGCTTCTCCGTCATGGGCATCTACATCGGAGTTGCACGTGCCTCAGCCGCGCCAACTCATCGTGACCAGCTCCCGCCCCACCCTGCATATAAACATCGTCATAGTTATTCCCCGGCTACCACTCGTTCGATTAGCTACTAGTGCGAGATACAGCCCAGCATTAGTAGAACACGTCCTTCCACGTCGTCATCGTCATCGTTATCCTTCCTCTTTCTGCCACTATTATAACGTCGCCGTCGTCCTCGTCCTCCTCCTCCTCCTCCTCTTCCTCATTCTTCTGATCCTCCTCATTATTATCCCTTCATCCCTCTTCTCTCTCTTCTGCCTTCTCCTCCCTCCTGTCCCCTCTTTCTCCTCCCTTCTTCTCCTCCCTCCTTCTCCTCCTCCTCATCCTTCCTCCTCCCTCCCTACTCCTCCTCCTCTTCCTCCTCCTCCTCCCTCCTCGTCCTCCTCCTCCTCCTCCTCCTCCTCCTCCTCCTCCTCCTCCTCCTCACCTCCTCCTCCTCCTCCTCCTCCTCCTCCTCCTCCTCCTCCTCCTCCTCCTCCTCCTCCTCCTCCTCCCAGTCTCCCCTCTGCGCGTGCGATCGCGGCCCAGGAGGTGGTCAGAGCCGCCGTCGAGGGTATCTGGCCGGAGGGCGGACTAGCAGAGTCGGCTCCCGTGTCGCCGTGGAGGGAGCGGGGGCGGCGGACGACGTCCGAGAGCAGCAGAGCTGAGCTCGGCCAATGTCTGTGCTCTATGTCTGCTAGTGCACGCCAGTCGCTTGAAGTTGGTATTTCTGAGCTCCCAGATCCCAATCTGCTTTAAGCGCCGCTCTGCTCAAAGAACTGATCTGTGTCTGTTGTCTGTTTTTTTTGCTTCGGGCGGGCCCGAGCACAATCTGCTTTATCCGCCTTCCCCCTTCATGCTTCCACGTACGCCTTCCGACTGGCGGGTATTGAGTTACCCAAGGTGTTCACAAAGAGAGTGCTTGCACTAGGTAAGGGGTCATTGCTTTTGGTTGCTGAGCAATCGGCTGTTTTGGTCTGGATGTTTGTTTGGTTCCCGCCCATGGCCGCAGTGTCGCTGAACCGTCTTAGGTGAGGAGGAGTACGACGACGAGGGAGGTCTTCACATATCTCGAAGTGTTCTCACGTCTGTCTCGGCATGAGGTCTACATGAGGGTGTTCTCACGTCTGTCTCGAAGTGTTCTCACATCTGTCTCGAAGTGTTATCACGTTGAGTTTCGCGAGGGTTTAGAGTCATCTGTCTCAGCATGAGGTCTACACTATCGGCCGCTTCCTCCGAATGGTGTTCCAGGACAGCTCGAAGCGCATGATATACGAGGAGCTTCCGGACACGGCGCGGTTGACAGACCTGTGCAACGGCATCTACACCGCCCGCATCACGGGCGACTTGTACAGAGAGCATGAGCTCAATGAGGAGGAACAGGAGGATGAGTAGGAGGAGGAGGAGGCGACGGGTCCAGCAGCCTTGGATACGGACACGTCGTTTCAGAGCATTCTCGGAGAGTTCCAGAGCACCCTGGAACGGCCGCAGCGCACGATGCATGAATACATCCTCTCAGCTCCTCAGCTTTCGGAGACCCTCGATTTGACCGTACTGGTTCATTCGTATCTTGCCGTCGTCTTGGGCAAGGGGGGGAAGGTGCAGAGGAGCAGGAGGAGGATGATGTGGAGGCGGACGAGAATGAGGAGGGGGCGGTGAGGTGGAGGATGAGGAGGACGAGGAGAAGGGGAAGAAGGGACAGGATGAGAAGGGAGGCGGAGTAGAACAGGGAAGATCTCAATGGACAAGCCAAGGTAACACTTGTATAAGGCGTATTGTTTGACACCAGTGGGGTGCCCGGCCCGTGGCGGGTCGCGAACAGCCAGAAGCTCGCCTGGTCTTACCGCCAAAGGCAGATTTTCCCTGCCCTGCCGCTGCTGCTGATCCCACCCTTCCGTCCCGAGCCCTGAGCCCCCTCCTCCGCCTCAGTTCTCCTCCTCTTCCCCCTCCGCCTCAGTTCTCCTCCTCCTCCCTCCTCCTGCCTTCTCCTCTTCCCCCTTCTTCCTCCTGCCTCCTCCTCCTCCGCCTCAGTTCTCCTCCTCCTCCCTCCTCCGTATTGATCCTGGCGCGTTACCCTCATCCGCCTCGTCGTCCTCAATTCTGATCCTGTGCCTGCTCGTGCTCCGGTGCCCTTTCCTGCTCGGTCACGTTTCCCCGCCCGGCCGCCGGACGCGTCGGCGCGGCGGGCTGGGCGTCTCGCCCGAGGCTTCCCCACAGCTTTTGACATGGAAGCTCATGGAGCTCCTAATCGTCACAAGGATGGGGGGGCGGGTGGTCTTCAAAGTGTGGCTCTCGCCACAGCGCCTCGCACGTTCGTTTACAAGGATGCAATAGTTACAAGGATGGGGGGCGGGTCGTTTTCGATATGGGGGTCCCGCCTCAGCGCCGCGCGCAGTCGGCTTGAATCTTGCAGCGGTTGCAAGGATGGAGGGCGGATGATTTTCAACATGTGACTCTCGCCTGAGCGCCGCGCACAATCGTCCTAGACGCTTGCAGCAGTTACAAGGATTGAAGACTGTTCCTTTTCAACATGGAAGCTTTCGCTTGCGACCGCTTTGAACTTACAAGTCATACACTTGTGTGCGCGTATCAGCTGCAGCTTCTTTGCAAGCTGTTGCTTTCGCTCGAAAATTCCCTTCAGCGCATTAGCTAACATATAAGTTTGCGCGACCGTTGCGCTGATGGGGGCGGCCTTCCCTTGTTTTCCAAAAACAGAGATATCGCTGGCCACCTCGATGAACTGTACGATCATACATCTGTCGCCGCGCCGTTTGTTCCGACGCGCGGCCTTACGTCTCAGGGAGGGCGCCGCGGCCACCAGGGCAAACTCCGCCTCGGGCGCAGCAGGTTTGCCGTGGGTATTGCCGCGGTGGCCTCGTCAGCTGGGGCGCGGGACGCAAGGTTTTCCGTGGGCTCGCCGTGGCTGAGAACAAACGGCGCGGCGAGACATGAGGAGGAGGGGCGGGGGAGAGGAGGGGAGGAGAAGGAGAGGAGGAGGATGAGGAGGAGAGGAGGAGGAGGAAGGAGGAGGAGGAGGAGGAGGAGGAAGGAGGAGGAGAGAGGAGGAGGAGATGAGTAGAGGAGGAAGGAGGAGGGAGGAGAGGAGGGAGGAGGAGGGAGGAGGAGGAGGAGGAGGAGGAGGAGGAGAGGATGAGGAAATGGGAGGAGTAGGAGGAGGAGGAGAGGAGGGGAGGAGGAGGAGTAGGTATGAGGAGGAGGAGGAGGAGGGGAAATGAGTGATGAGGTAGGGAGGAGCAGGAGGAGGAGATGAGGAGGAGGATAGGATGAGAGGAGGAAAGGGGAGGAGGAGGAGGAGGAGTAGGAAAGGAGGAGCGAGAGGATGATTAGGAGGAGGAGGAGGATCGTCTGCTGGAGGGATGCAGGGCAGCTCCTGCTCGAGACGGGGGTCCCTCGCCGGCATGGCAGGCCCACGGAGCGCTCGGGCCTTCCACGGAGGCCGCGCCTCTTTCTGTGACGAGGAGCGTGTTTTTTGTTCACCCTCTGGGCCATGACGCGCGTTGTGGCCCTTCCCCTTTCCCCCCCCTCTTCCCCCTCCCCCCCCCTGCCGCCTACGAGACGCCAAACTCTTGGAGTTTCTCCCTCCTCCTCCTCCTCATTCTCCCTCCCTCCTCCCTCTCCCCCCAAGACCTCCTCCTCTCTTTCCTCCTCCTCCTCCTCTTCCTCCTCCATCCTCTTCCCCCCCCCCGCTCCCCCCGTAACCTAACGTAGAGGAACAACAAGGTGGGCATAAGCATAAAATTGCCGAGGTCCGTGCGATTTTCTCGATCGTCGCTGGACCCCCCTCCCTGGCGCGCGGAGCGCGCCAGGGGCGGCGCCGGAGGCGCCGCCGGGGGGCCCCAGCGCCGATCCGAGAAATCCGCGCGGACCTCTGAGTTTTTATGTTTCTGTCACTTTCTGCTCCCCTATAACGATCTCCACATCAGTGCGTCCCGGACACTGCTGCAGTGCGTCCCGCGCCACAGTCTGGTGGGAGGGGGGTCGCTACTGTATGCCCCCTCCCGTCCGACCCCCCCCCCCCCTTCCCCCCCATAACGCCGGTTATGGCCGCGAAGCAAGAAAGGCGCTCAAGGAAGGTTTGCGTATGGATTTGTGAGGAGCGAGCTTGGGACGGAAGGGTAAACATTGCAGCGCCGCCGATGCACCTCGGGCTTGCTCTGGTCCTGCTCCTGATCCATCTCCCTATGCCCTAACCCTTGTCCTATATCCTCCTCCCTCCTCCGCCCTCCTCCTCCTGCCGCTCCCGCTCGGACACGCGCTGCTCTGCACGGTGCCGCCTCCGCCGAAGGAGTTCTACTACGAGCTCGTCCGCATCTACCGCAGCCCGGAGCTCCTTCTGGAGATCTCTGGGAAGTGGGGCAACAGGCCCGCGCAGTCCGTGCGCGGATCCGCGCGCGGAGGAGGAGGAGGAGGAGGAGGAGGAGGAGGAGGACGAGGAGGAAGAAGAGGAAGAAGAGGACGAAAAAGAAGAGGAAGAGGAAGAGGAAGAGGATGAGGAAGAGGAGTAGGAAGACCAAGAGGAGGAGGAGGATGAGGAGGAGGAGGAGGAGGAGGAGGAGAAGGAAGAGGAGGAGCTGCACGCCACGAGCTGCGGCCCGCCCGTCTCCGACCAGAGCGGCCGGGCGACCGGGGGGGTCTTACAAGCATAGGTATAAGAGTTACCGCAACGAGTTGCGCGGCGACGGCGGTGGCGGCCTGCAGGCGAGCCAGCACTCGCGCACCAGAGTTGGCAAGTCGTCCCACACAGGGCGATGCATCACATACTACGTGA